ATGTATGTAGTATATATGTAACATTATGTGACAGTATATGTGCTCGCACGTCGGTATGGTGGAGAGAAAGCAACGAGGGAATCAAGAAAAACGGCAGCAACATCCAGCAACAAAATCACTAGCATGGGGTCGACTACGCTAGAAGCTAGAATGCTTCAGAGCTGTGCCGGAGGGAAGTTTCTTAGAATGAGCAGGCACCATGACCAAGCTCTCAGCCACAAGCATTCCAGGCTCCATCGCGCCCTTTGCGTCCTCCTTCTGTGGCTTGCCGGGTGGAGCTTCGCTTCGCCAACAGGCCTGTCACCATAAGACCTGCCTGAAGATGACTGTCGCGGCTTCTTTTGCTGTTTTGGCCCGGGCAGCGCTCCGGTCCACAACGATGAGTATAGATGTCGCTAGTAGTGTCTTGTCTTGCAAATCCACAATGAATATTAAATAATGGTACTGTAGGATCCAGGTTCAAGGAGTCGGCGCAGGCAGCCCTTTAACGATCTTTCAAAAAAGGTTCAGGGGGGCTTGGGGTTTAGGGTCCAAAAGCATGGAGATCTAGAGCCTGCTCTCTGTGAGTTCTCACGGAACACCAAGCGTGTACACAAGCAGAAGCCGCTGGGCCTGGGGCCATGTTGCACGGGTGACTGGGTCGGTGCCCAACACAAGCATCTTGACATCACCATGCTCATTGCAGGCTTTCGATGGCCGCAACCCCAGCTGCAGAGGCATCTCCTGTTTTGTTCCCGCGGATGTTCGTTTTGAGGTGACTAGCTGCATGTTCCGCAGAGCAGTGTGCTCTCCAGCGACTCACCGTTTTGGCAATATACAGTTTCATATAGGATCCTTGCGCGATGTTGCGCCTGGTTGGCTTCCTTTTGATCGCCCTGGCAGCCGGGATCCGGTCAAAGAGCGAAACGCCCTGGCCGTGGGAAGAGCATTCCGCGAGCTCGGCCGAGGAGCTTCAGGAACTCCTGAGAACGGTGCTAAGGACCGCTGAGGCCACCAGAGAAGAGCCCGATGCCACACAAGAGCGGACGCTTCGAGAGCGTATCGCCAGCATCAGAGAGGGCTGGCAGAGCGCCGGTGCAACCGCTTGCCACCAGCAGCTGGGGAGGCTAATGAACACTCTCACCCTTGCATGCGAGCGCTTGCAGCCGAAAGCCGACTGGCTTCTCGACTACTACCCGGCCCTTCCAAACAAGACGTGCGCTGACAGCGTCAGCGACATCTTCGCGTTAGGAGACGAATTGGTGGAAACCCTCCGTGTCTCCAGAGATGCTGTAGCTTCCGCGGATGTGGCCGGCGAAAGGCTCCGTCGATATCAAGCGCTCTCCTTTCTGAGGAGCTGGCTCGTGGACCTGACCAAAACAAAGCAGCATGCGCTGCTTTGGGCTGGCTTCTGGGACGGCGACCCCGAGAAGCGCACGACGCAGGCAACGCTCTCCAACTTTGCCAAGGCCATTGAGCACGCGACCGTGCACCCGAACAGCTTCTTGGGCCGAGCCATTGAAGCGAGCGAGAACCTCGACGCCTGCTACAAGGACACCCAGACCAGTGCGCTTGCAGGGAACATGTGGTCCATCGCAAGCATGAGCTTCGTGCTCGGGATGCGGGAAAGGGCACAGGGAACCGTCATCGCACTGGTCAACAAGCAGATCACAGGTGAGCGTAACTTGTCGCAGTCCGTGCTGTCCACGCATGAAATCCCAACGGTGGGGCTCGCAGCCTGGGGCCTCGGGTTCTGGTCTCCGAAAGTGATGGTTGTGGACCTCATGGGCACCTGTGACCGGACCAGCCCAGCGTTGCAGAAGCGGCTCCTCGCCCGCCTGCCCTTTTGGGCCAAGTCCATGACCGACTGGAGCCCGGAAGCCTTCGCGACGAGGTCGCGGCTCCGGTGGCAGTGCATCGACTGCTCGGGCACTTGCCGCCTGGATGAGGCTTTGGCAGAGCACGTGGAGAAGCTGGTCAAGGCCGCCGGGCTTTTGTCTCGTCTCAAGTTCCTTCAAATTTTCTGAAAGAGTGTCTTGCTCCGGAGGCCAAGGAGGTGCAGGACGAGAAGGACCAAGAGCTCCGCCAGGCGCCGAAAAAAGCCGCCTCTCGCTTCGCCCGCTTCGCTCGCTTCGGTCCCTGCCAGGCCGCGGGCACACAATGCGCAGCCATGGCAACCACTGACCTCATGCGAAACCGGGAGGAGGAGGCCCTCACCGACAAGCTAATACACTCGAGTTACAGATTGGCAAATGGACTCGACCTCGACACGAGGTTTCTCAAGCTTTTCGAGCAGAGGCAAGACCTGAAAGATGAGAAGAACTACCTGTTGGGGCTGGCTTTTGATTGGAGTTGGAGAGGATCACGTTCCAGTCCAGAGCAACTTCTTCACCAGAATGCGGATCCGAGCTCTCCGGACCGGCTGGGTCACACAGCCCTCATGTGTGCTGCCCATAAAGGCGACCTGAAGGTGGTCGAGGCGTTGCTGAGGGCTGGAGCCCAGCTGGAGGCCCGCAGTGACCTTGGCGAAACAGCCCTCACACTCGCTGCAATCAGAGGCCACGTGGACGTAGTCAGGTCGTTGGTGCTGGACGGAGCAGAGCCGGAGGCCTGCAACGCAAATTGCCTCATCGCTGTTGCAGAGCAGGGCCGCCCAAACCTGGACGTGCTCAAGGCGTTGTCGAAGGCCGGAGCGCTGGAAGCCCGAGATAAAAGAGGGCGCACAGCCCTCATCTCTGCTGCGAGGCAGGGGAGCCATGCGCATGTGGTCCGTTTTCTGGTGCGGGCCGGAGCCCAGCTGGAGGCCCGCGATCAGGGTGGCGACACAGCCCTCATGGCCGCTGCACGCTTCAACGAGTTGGAGGTGGCCGAGGTCTTGATCAAAGCCGGAGCCCAGACGGGCCCGGCTCTCACTGTCGCAACAGAATATGGCCACCGGAGGCTTGTGGAGGCGTTGCTGACGGCCTGAGCCGAGCTGGAGGGCCGCGATGAGAATGGCAAAGCCGCCCTCATCTCTGGGGCACTTGCAGATTGCGGACATCTTGTGAACATCGCGGTCCTATGAAGCATATTGTCCGATCCTGGGTTTCTGCTCACGAGCCAAAGCAAGAAAGAAGCTGACCGGGACGTTGTCAGGTTTGAGTGGAAGGCTTTAGCGGCGATGTCGGGTTGAAGGAGCTCTGGGTCTACAAGACTTGACAAGTCCTGCATTTGGGTTGCCGTGTTGCAGCGGTCAGGTTCTGATGTTTGAGGGCTGAAGGTTTCGGGCTTTGGGGCCTTTCGCAGCTTTCAGGGATGTCTACGCATGCGCCGACGCTCTCAAGTACCGAGAGATTGCACGCAAACGCGGGCGCGAGGACAGGGCCTTCGTTTCGTCGACACTACAAGACCTTTCAAGGCTAGTAGGAGAATCTGCACTAAAGGCGCAGGCCGCCGACCCTTTTGCGGCGTTTTTTACGCAACAAGCTTGTTCCATTTAATACCGACGCTGGGGGCACGACCGCATGGTAGAACTGCTTTGAACTACTTACTGGGATTCAGAGTTATGCAGAACAGGCTTCGAGTGTGTGCAGACATGATGCTGAAGCCTGTCGAGCAAATCTCGGCAAAAGTTAAGGGCGGTTCCATACTCATTCCGCTCGTCAGCACGACCCGATGTTCAGGAGATGGCGGTGGTGGCGAAAGATGCAAAGCGTCGTCGGGCCAATGCGCGGTGAGAGAATGCACAAAAGATG